TTTTTTTTTTTTTTTTTTTTTTTTGAAATAAAGTTTACCGACTGCAAAATTTCCATAGCAATCATTAGTCTAATCCACCGAAAAGTTGTAATTTCATTATTTTTTTTTTTGGCGACTTGTATTGCATGAAGTGAATGAAGTTGTAGTTCATTTGAGTAAGATCAAGTTTGAAAACTTCTTCTAACATGTATGATATCAACTTCTATTAACATTTATTTACTTTATAATTTTTTTGTAGAAATAGCAAAAAAAACCTTTTAAAGAACATCTACAGCTTTTTTTTCTTTGAATGGTAATTATAGGCATAATTAATGGAATCAAAAGATAATCATTTGGACAAAAAGAAAAAGCGCTTAGAATCTTTACAGATTTTGATTGGTAAAAATTCAGATCAGTCTAAAAAACAAAGGTTTATATGGTTAATTGCAGTTTTAAAAGGAGACTTAAAACTATTAAGATTAATTAAACAAGAAAAAATTGCTGCTTTTTTTTTGAGTCGAACATTAGTCAGCCTAAAAGCCAAATTGTTAAGTTCTGCAAAAAGGATCAATTTGATTTGGAGATTTTGTTCACTGGGAAAAACCTATCAATGTTGATTGCACGTTCTTAAGTTGGGAACGTGGATTGATAGAAATGAGCTTGATTTTGCAAAAAATTTTTAGAGACGGAAAAAAGTTGCTGCTACAAAAAATTCAACTAAACTGAGCAATATTCTGACAATCATTTTTTTACCGCTTCATTGTAGGCATCAAAAGCAAAAAAAGTATCAATACGAAACTGACAGCAAATACGTTCTGCAAAATATGCAAAATAAATATGTTCTGCAATAGCTGATCAGTACACGTTAAATTTGCAATCACTGATCAACAGGAAGTACTTTAGGGAAGTATTTCAGCACATTTAAACTTGAAGTAATTTTCCTACAGCTATTCTTTCCTGTTTTCCATAACCAATTCACACTATTTAAGTTATCCTGCGTTATACTTAACTAACTCTTATTTAAGACGAAAAAAAAATTCTCATGCAAGTGAAAAAAAAGACTATTGTTTTTTTGCTTATTTTGCCCAACTTTTAGCTCAAATATATGGTAAACAAAAAAAAATTTTAGCAGAACACTGCGTGACAATATTTGCTGCGCAAAATCTCTACAATTTATTGCTTTTTTATCGCTTCTTTGAACTGTCAGAATACATCAGCTGATTTATTGTACGTTACTGATTCTGACAGTTACTATATATTTTGTTACCACTGAAGCAATAAATTGTACCGTTGTACAGAGTGAAAACAGATGACCTATTGCAACAAAAAAAAAGAAAGTAATTTCTCCTGATCTACACACTTACATCAAATATGTTGGAGACAAATTATACTGCTCTACATGCCAACCATACCTAGACCGTGTAAAAGCATAATTTTTGTCGTGTTTCCAAAATAAACAAATTCAGAATGTTTGTCTTGATTAGCCAAGTTAAAAATTTATGAGAAATTTATAAGTATGACATTGAAAAAGTCGGTTTTTATAACAAATTTTGGTTGCTTATCATCTAGTTTCTTCTCTTCTGTTTTTAAGGTAATATTGAGTATTCTTAAACCCAATTAGGAATTTAAAAATAATGAAAAAGAACTAATTTTTAATAAATAAAACAAGATTTTTTATTTGGATGTAAAATGGGTCAAAGTCTTTTAAAAATTAAAAAAGTAATTTTTTGGCTCTTTCTCTAGAAAAAAACTAAAGTCCGTTCTTTTATTGAATAAAAGTAATCAACAAATGGTTGAATTTCGAAGCAAAAAGACGTAAGAAAGAAGACGAGAA